GCTTTGGGTCAGACGGAAGTCCCAGGCCTGAGGCCACGGGACCAGCTGCAGTATCTCAGATGGGTGTGCAGGGGAGTCAGGCGCTGACAGGGTGTGAAGCCACTGATTAAAGTGGCATGTGAGGTTGGGCTTAGAGAACCAGCTCTGGCCTGGGCTACTAAGAAACATTTCTGCACCTGCGGACAGCTGTCCTAAGCTTCACCCTGACTGCACCATCCTTGCTTTTCTAGATCCCTAGTCGCCTCAAAGAGAAGGAGCCAGGTTTGCTTCTTAAATGGGGGGCGGGGGATGTGGGGTGCGGGGGAAAGGTGGTGTAGGGGAGGCACAGAAAGGGCAGTAACCTGCCTGATCGCACCTAGTAAGTCAATGACAGGGCCTTGTCTTCCAGCCCAAGGGCCTGTACTCCCTTCTAATCTTGAGGGTGGCTCAAAGGTGTGCCAAGGTGTTGGAGGAATTCACGCTTTTGGGCACAACGATCTAGGTCTAGTGGGCTTCAGGGGTCACACTTCCTGCTTCCTCTCTCTCCTGTCTTGGCAGGTTCTCGGGCCTTCCTCGGAACTGTAAGACCGTGCCCTCCCAATTCTTGTTAACACTAGGAACATGTCTGAACGTGGTGGGTGGGGTTTGGTCTCTCTTGTGTTTTGGATTGGGGATGGGGTAGGGGAGGCTTCCTCCCAGGTCCCTGCCTTATCCCATGTAGTTAATATCTTGAGAATGTTAAAACCATTTTGGCTTCTCCTCTGAACTCTGGCTCCATAGGTCCATTTGCCTTCTGGACATTTGCCTGGGTGGCTCCTGGCCCTCCAAAATGCTTCTTCAGTGTCCCCAGCTGGGAGATGTTTGTGTTCAGCCAGGCCACTTGGCTGGGTGCTTCGCTTGACTCCTCTCCACCACAAGCAGTCCTCAAGTCTGTTGATCTCACTTTCCAAGTAGTCATGTCCCCTGGCCTCCAAATCCCACCGCTGGAAGACATCCATTCCCCTCCTAACTGCCCAAGTGGTCATTCTAGCATCAAACCTGACCATGACCAACCTTATTTCCGGACTCTTGAGAGCTCTAGTGGGCCCAGAATCAAAGTCAGGTGTCCAGACTCCTGTCATTCAAGGCCTGGTTTGAAACTCTTCAGGTCCAGATCAAGTCACTTTGGTTTTTTTCCTTCTTCCTGTAAACTCAACTTTTGGGGTGGGGTGATCTGGTCTAGCCCCTACGCTCTGGTGACTGGAGGGTGCCTGCTGAGGGCTTTGAAAGGAGCCTAGCAGTTTGGGAAACACAGCCCCAGAATATGGTGGGAGAGCTCTAGAACCCTCTTCTGCCTCCTCCACTGCACAAGAGCAGGGTCTGGGGCTGACAGAGAAACCCCCTCCCTCAGGGGTCTTGGGCCTGCAGTCCACAGCCTTCCTGAGCTAGCCCCAGCCTCACCTCACCTCCCAGTTCCAGTTCTGTAGTGGACACTCATCTCATGGACATATATCCATAGTACCTTCAAGCCTCTGCCTCTGTCCCTTGGCCAGGACAGCCCTGCCTCTCCTTTCTGTGCAAGTTTGAACTTCTCTTTTTTTGGAGCATCTCTAGTCTTGCCCTTGACAGGTTTGGCTCAGCAATGAGCTGCCTCAGCAAGGTACCTGCACTTTTTTTTTTTCAGGGCCTGACCCCTTCTTCTTTTTTTTTTTTTTTTAAGGTTTTATTTATTTATTTGACAGAGAGACAGTGAGAGAGTGTGGAAACACAAGAAGAGAGAGAGGGAGAAGGAAGAAGCAGGCTTCCCGCCGAGCAGGGAGCCCGATGCGGGGCTCGATCCCAGGACCCTGAGATCATGACCCGAGCCGAAGGCAGTTGCTTAACCGACTGAGCCACCCAGGCGCCCCAGGCCTGACCCCTTCTGCCCTGTGTGGTCCCTCCCCTGGGACACAGGCCCCCCATCCATAGCATCCTGGCTCTTGGACCAGGAGTACACGTTGACTAAGGCTGGTGCCTGAGACTAACAGGAAGGGGACAGAGGCTAGGACAGAAGGTTGCGTAGGTGGGTTGTGGCTGAGTTCTGAGTCTCAGCCCACCGCAAGTCTCCCAGGGTGGTGACCAGCTGGAATGCTGCAGAGGGCCCTGGGCTCCACCCCCTTGGCATGGCTCTGAGCTGGCCCAGCAGCCTGAGGCTGCTGCTGGACAGACCAGATTCATTGTCCACACACCCACCTGCCCCCAACTCCTTTTTTCCTTTGCCAGCAAAGAGTTGAAATTCACAAGCTGCGTCAAGGTGAGAATTTAATACTGGGCTTCAGTATTGGAGGTGGAATTGACCAGGATCCCTCCCAGAATCCATTCTCAGAAGATAAGACAGACAAGGTGAGGGGGACCAGGGTCCTGGGGCTTTTCCATTGGGGACAAGGCCTGAGATGGTGGATCTCTGTTTCTAGGGCCTTCATGGAAGGAGCAGACCTGTGTCTTTCAAACAGTCCTAGGAAGGTTTAAGAAATGATAAGTAGGGATGGGGGTGGGGAGTAGACCTCCCAGCCCTAGGAAGACTCACTTAGAGCCCAGGAGGAACAGGAAGAGGCCAGCAGCAGGGGCCAGAGCATGGTGGGGCAGCTCTGTTTTGGCACAGCCTGTACTGGGGGGCAGACTTGGTGCAGAGTCAGTTGGATGGCTGGGAGTTTGCCATGCTGGGCTTTGCTCTCTGGATAGGTGCCAGTCCAGTGACACTGGGCTTTGACCTGGGCTGTTTCTTTCCAGGGCATTTATGTCACACGAGTATCTGAAGGAGGCCCTGCTGAAATTGCTGGGCTGCAGATTGGAGACAAGATAATGCAGGTAACCCATGTCCCAAAGGAGGAAAACACGGCTTGGGCCCAAGGGTCTGAAGCACTTGGGGTTAGGGGCTGCCCTTGCCTCCTGAGGCAGCTGGGAGACTCCCTGAAACCATCGAGAGTGCATGCTGGTGCTGCTCCCAGAGGGGGCGGACTCTCTCCTCTGTGTGCCTCATCTGTGGTGCTTGGCACCCCCAGCCCAGACACATCAGCCTGGGAGCCTGCTTGGGTGACCCAGGACCCCAAAACCCGTCCTGCTTCCAGATCCCAGACAGCAGAGAACTGAGGTAGGCTGTATTTTTTCCTTGGGCCAGGTGAATGGCTGGGACATGACCATGGTCACGCACGACCAAGCCCGGAAGCGGCTCACCAAGCGCTCGGAGGAGGTGGTGCGCCTGCTGGTGACGCGGCAGTCACTGCAGAAGGCAGTGCAGCAGTCCATGCTGTCCTAGCGGCCCGCCATGGTCCCGGACTCGTGCCTGCCTGCCTACAGTGACACCACTTCCACGCTCTGTCTGCCCCTCATCCTGGCTTCTGCTGAGTACTGCGCTCCAGCTCAGAAGGGCCAGAGCTGGTCCCAGAGGCCTGTCCCTGGGACCTGACCCAGCCTTCCTTCCCCACCTCCCACCACTGGCCCGAGGCTCTGGGACCAGCTCTTGTCCTCAGACACTGAGAATTGTCAGTCTGTAGCGACCACAGGCTTGGCCCTCAGACCCCTGCTGCATGGCCTTAGCAGTGCCCAAATGGGCAGAAGGCCCCCCACTTCTTGAGAGCCACCACAAAGCTAGGGAATGCCGGCTGGGGCCAGCCTTGCCCACACTGAGCCCCGGCTGCAGGGCCTGGCCTGGCCCCGTTATCTCAGCTCTGCAGTGACTACCCCATGTTTTTTCCTGCCTTCCCCAGCAGGGACTTGACATACGGCCAGAGGCACTACAGAGCTTGGTCCAAATGGAACCCAGGCAGGCTCACAGTTGACCCCATCACCCCCCCTCCCCCCCGAGGGGCGCTGGCCTCCCCCAGGGTTCACCTGCTCAAAAGATTTAGATGAAGTTTGAGGCTGACATTTCAGGGCAGTTCTCAGGATTGCCATTTCCTTCTATGCCTGTGGGTTTAACTTTATATTTTTTTAATCACAATTTTGATACAAAACCATTTTTACCTTACTATTTGGAGATGCCAATTCTACTCCTGAATTTATCTTACTAATTCACATCTGGAAATAACAGCGTTGCTTTGGTTCCTGTGGAAATGGGGTAGTATGAAATTGCCCCATACCTGACATCTTGGGCCCAAATAAAACAGTGCTGGAGTTCACAAGGGGTTTTTGCTGAGGCACAGGGTAGGGGTGTCTGGGGTGGATGGATGGTGGCTAGAGCTTCGGTTGTAGGGCTGACTGCCCTGGCCCCCAACCACTTCTGAGACGAAGCCCCGCTGATGCCAGGCCTGCCACCTATTGTGCGGCCAAGGGCCACATTGGTGGGAACATCGGGAGCACCTTCACTGGAAGGTCCCCTGTGTAATTCAGCTTGTGCTCCACCCGGGAGGGGCTCCTGGGCACTGCGGGGTTCATGGGAAAAACCCCTACCTCCTAAGACTCTTGAGAGCGTACAATTATCACAGACAGGAGTGCGGCTCCACATTTCCAGGGACTGTGGTCTGATGAGATGGGGCTAAGTTGGAGACCCGCCCGGGACCTCTGCCTGGCCCAGCACTGGTTGCCCTACCAGCTCTCGGACTTACTGTCATTTGTGGACCCACCTACAACAACTGCCAAATCCAGCTTTTCAAAGTTTCAAATCTGAAATCTCCCACTTCTACAATCTCTGCCTTAAGGAAACAAAATCCTAAATTCTCTGATGTGGATAGAGGAATCATTGAAAAATAAGGCACCCTCCCTTCCCCCTCAGTGAGAGTGCCCTTAACCCATCCAACCCATGCTCACAACCCCAGCTTGAGCACCATGCCCTATAGAGACATAGCACCCGTGTGACCTACCTGGCCCTGAGCAGGCAGGCATCTTGCACTACCCAAGAGGCTTCCCCTGATGAACTGCCAGATCAGTATGCAGCTACCTTGCCATCAGCATACTTTGCAACCCATGCGTTTCCTTACATGAAGTGAGTAGGGCTGTCTCCCTAAACCCTAAGGATTGGTTCTGAAGCCAACACACCTGTCTCCCACATCTGGCAAAATGCTCCGTGTGCAGAAAGGAAACAAATCAGGTTTTAATTAAGGATATATAAGCACCTCATTAATCTCGTAGTAAAAAGTCTGAGAGTGAGCTGACAAGGCACATCCTGGGACCCTCCCCTCCTGCTATAGGAAGGACAGCTGCCTGGGAAAAGAGGGAAGGAGGTTTGGAATAAGGGTTGGGCCCATGAGGACTATGTGAGTTGGTCTCAAGTCCTTAGGTGAGGCTCCTGAATAGCCAAAAAATTGGTGAGTCTCAGGTAGGTGTCTGGGGTAAGTGAAGGAAGGGGGCCAGCCCTCCCCTACAGGGGAGCTACTCTCACCAATTGGCAGGTCTTACTGGCCTCTAAGGCACAGGATGGTGTGTGTGTGTGTGCATGCGCACACGTGTCCTATACTCAGACACAAGATAAGGAGCAGTTGAAGGGGTACATAGGGTCCCTGACTCTGGAAAAGTAGAGGTAGGCAGAAGGTGAAGAAATTAAGCCACTCACTTCCAAAACATCCCTCCAAAAAATCCAAAAGGGGGTAGTGTGATAAAGATCCAGAGGGTTTGGGTGTAAGCCTAGCTCAGAACCAATCTGTTGGGCACCTCAAGGCTCAGAAATCCAGTTTCTTTACCAGACCCTAGCCTGGGCCACCTGTGATTACAGTTGTGGGTGTTGAATTATGCAGAATGAGTGTCAGGAAGGTGAATGCTCAGAGCATGTGGCCTTCAGAGAAGGGACCCCCCCTCCCAAGGCCTAACCCCCAGATCAGTCCTGTCCCGTGTGCCACCAGCATCAGCACCAGCACCTCTGAGTCCATTGGCCACACCACCTGGCTGCTTGGGTCTCTGGGAAGACAGCAGTGGCAACAAAGCACCCTTGGCTCACAACTGCAGGGTCAGTCCTTCAAGCTGCTCCCAGAAACACTGGTTGCTTAGCTCAAGGCCTTCGGCTCCAAGTTCAGCACCCAATCCTGCCTGGGATGGCTGTCCGAACCCGTGTGTGCTGCCTGAAGCCTTAAAGAAAATAGAGACGGTGGCATCAAGATGCAGGAGGGTCAGACGCCCGGCTGGCAAGGCCTGGGAGGGGCTGTCAGCAGTGTGGTTTTCCGTCTCAGGGCAGAGTCTGGTGTCTGTCTCAGGGGGAGGCTCCTCCCCAGCCCGGCCTGGGAGAGTCCTGGCTGAAGGCAGGCTGGTTTGTGTGTAAGACGTCTGGCCCTGAGGAAGAGAGCACTTCAACACTGTCCGCACACTGAGCCAGCCCTGCGCTCCAGCCTCTGCCTCAGCCTTCCTGGTGGGCACGTGACCCGGGGCCATTTATGCTGGGTCCCTGGGTGCTAGTTGAGTTGGTCATACCCTGGTCTCTTTCTGTATAAGCAGAAGTGCTGAATGAAGAAGACAATATCGAAGAAAATGGAGAAGAGGCCGAGTCCAAACTTGGTTGGGTCTCCAAAGATCAGTGTCCACTGCTCTGTTAACAGTCACAGGGGACAGAGTTTGGGTTCAAGTTGGCAGCTCCTGAAGCAGCTGGAGCATGTGGGGCAGCGGGGCTGTGTGGGGGTGGGGAGGTGTCCTCATCTGCCCAGAAAAACCACAAATCCTCCAGCTGCAAAGGTCCCTAGGTGAGTCTCCCCTGGGTGCTGGGACTGGGTTGGATTCCCAGGCTGAAGGGCTGGGGGGGGTGGGGGGGGTGGAGAGGTATCCCGGGAAGCCTGGCCCTACCCTGTGCCTCCAGCCCACCAGATGGGCAGGCAGCCCGCTGGCTGACTCACCGTTGTTGTAGGACTGGAGGAACATCTGGAGGAGGCTGAAGCTACCCCCAGTGAAGTCCAGAAGCACGTTACCAATGCTCCAGCCCTCGGTGCTTTTGTAGTAAAAGTTCATGTAGGCCTGGGTCAGACAGACAGAACGACGGCAGTGAGGGGGCTGGGTGGCTGCCTCTTAGACCTTGTGACCGTCATTCCAAACAAGAGCAGCTCTCATTCCTCCCACTCATGTGCTTGGGCCTTGGCATCAAGGAACACAGTGAACTTTGGGCTCTGACAAGTCCCCACCAGCAGAGGGAACAGTTTGGGCGGGTCCCGGGGTCTCATGTGGGTGCACAGCCAACAGCTCTTCTCCTCGCATCCCGCACCTCACAACTGCAAAGGAGGGGGAGATGTTGCTTCTCCATCTTTATCCTTCCCTGTTCTGGGGTGAAACCCTATTCTGGTTTTCTAGCAATTGATTTTTCTTCTCACTTCCAGTGAAGGAGAAACTCAGCCTGGACTTCATGTTGTGCTTATGAACATGGGCTAGAAGTCAATTTCCTGGTCTGGCATCCCAGCTCCACCAATGGAGGGAGGTTATCTTGGGAGTGTTACTGAAGTTCTAACTTCAGTTTTCCCATCTGTAGAGTAGACTTGACTCCCCCCTCAGCTCTGGCTGGGCTCTGGAGACTCCATCTCAGGCTTCCTAGGTTTAGTGGGTGGGTCCACTTGGACATCCCCCCACTTTCTGCTGCCACTGCCCCACATCCTTCCTCCAAAGCCAGAACCCTCTGGACTTCTCTGATTGGGGCAACCTCCCTATCACCCAAGAGGATGTGGCCTCTGTAGTGGTCTTCCCTCAGTCAGCCACCTGTCAAGTCCCCTTCTTCATCCTCTTCCCCCACTCTTTCATGCTTGTGGCCACCTCTCTAGTCTTGGGACAATTCCAAACATCTGCAAGTGGAGCTCCTAACTCCTGGGTTGACCAGGCCCAAGCCTTCCCACACTCAGGGACTGTGGTCCCTACTTCACTCAAGACCTGCCCCCACCCACTCCGAAGCCTTCTTCCCCAGCCCCCTAAGGCCTGACCCTACCTTTTTAGCTTCAACAGTGCTTCTTGGTACCTCCCACACTCCTCTGACTGCAGACTGCTCCCAGCCTAGAATGCCCCCTCCTTTCTTGCCCACAAAATTAAGTCCTCCTCATCCTTAAGAGCTTGGATCTGTTTCCAAGCCCTCTAAGAGACAGGCCTGGACTCTGGCCCAAATGCTCTCCTTCCTGAGCCCATGAGATACCAGGTTCCCTGCACTGGGGAAACTGAAAAGGAGGCGCCTCCATGGGAAATGGGGCTAGATTCCGGGGTGGAGCCCGCCAGTGGCCGCTGTCCCATGCCGCCCCCGGTCCTGGGCCGTCTGGGCTAAGGGGGAAGATGTGCTGGACTCTAAGTCTCTGCATCTGAATAGGACCCAGTACTTGAGGGAGCATGCTGAAGGTCCCTAAGGTGGACCCCGGATGGGATCTCTGGATGGGAGACAGAGGTCAGAGGTTGCAGTGCTAGGCTGCTTGTCCGGGTCACTGGTTGTAGCAATGGGGGGCAGGACTGATGTCCTTAGGAAGGACTGGGATGGAGAGACAAGTGACCCGTACGACCTGACTCTCAGAGCTGAGCATGAGCTCAGAGAAGTCTCCACACTGACCCTCAGGTGGTTCCTGGCTCCAGGGAAGAGCAGCAGTGCTTATGGCCAGCTTTCTGCATGGCCCTGCACTGGCTGGGCTCATGCCTTCCACTGCAGCTTTCCATGCACATCTCACCCCAGCTAGAAGCTGCCCCATGCGAGCAGCACCCAGGCCCTGTGTCTCATCCCTCTCACGCTAATGGCCATGTGAAGAGTACCTGGGGAAAATACTTGACCAGCGTCACTGCGAGCTTGATGTAGGAGAAGCAGAAGAGAAATCGCAGCCATGTGATTACCCCAACTGCAGCCAAAATCACGGTGATGAGCACCAAGAGCCAGGAGAGCACCAGGAAGCTGATGGCAGGCCAGGACACATGCTGGTTGCCTCGCTGAAGATGACCGAGAAAAGGAAAGGGAGTAGGTGGTAGGGGTTCGGGGGGTGGGCACAGAAAGCCCAGTACCAATCACACCCTTGTCACTAGCAGGGTCTCTATTGCAGTCCTTAGACTTTCCAGAGCCCATTTCTTCCTGTTCCCACATTGCAGAACTGGGTGCCTCTCGGAGGCCACCAGGAGCTGGGAATGTGGCCTGCAACACACTGGAGGCCTGTGCCTCATTCCATGATCCAGGTGGAGCCTGATCATCTCTGGAACCCATCCCTTACCCCTCCCTTTCCCCAGAGCAGGCCTTCTTCACCAAGCCTCAAAGCAAAGGGTAAGAAAACCTAGAAAGTTCGTGAAGGTAGGAGCCAAGCAGTCCCTGGCTGACCTTGCATGTGCAGAGGGAGGTCCCTGAGGGAAGCAATGTATCCAGTGAGAGAAAACGTACCTATCAGTGTGATTCCCTGAAAAGCAGCCTAATGGTGCCTTTCTCTGCTGAGACGCCCAACAGCCCTCCAGCACTCCAGCTGAGGCTGGTCTCCTCAGCATGGCACTGCAGACCCCTCAGGAGACCCTGAGCCCCATCCACACCCGTTTGCTCATAGTTCCTCTCACTGTTCCTTGGCCTTCACAGCTCTGACCTCCAGCTGGGGCTGCCCCACCCTGGCCCGCTTCCCCATCCCCATGGCAACATCACTTTCACTGTGGACCACAACCCCATGCCACTTCCTTGATGCCCTCCTTCCCTCTCCTCCCTGGCTGTGCCAGGGCCTCCATGAACCGCCTGTGTCCTCCCCTCCCACTCAGCTCTCAGCCTGCTGGGTCATCACTGCCTCTCTGTGTCCCTCACCCCAGACCTGGGGTCCCGAGAGCACAGGGCCGGGCCTACTCTCTCAGCCTCAGTAAGTAGATGCTGACTTTCTGTGTCTTCTGTAAGTGGGAGGTATGGCCAACAGGTGGTAGGGGTGGGTGTTGGCCCAGGGAGCCTGAGGTGGGGTGGGCACCAGATTCATCTCTCACCTCATAGAGGAAGCACTGCACCATGACAACCAGGGTGAGGGCGACTGCGTGCAGACTGAAGAAGACATCATTACTGTCCACGGGGTTCACCCCATTGGGGTATTTGAAGAAAAACTGCTCCTGGTTGAGGGGTCGGGAGAAGCTTGGGGGTGAGGTGCAGCCAGGCTACCAAGGAGCTGGGGCCGGGCTACAGTGGGCAGGCAGTGCCATACCTTGATGTAGGGTACCCAGAGGAGACCAATGTTGAACACGCTGTAGGCCACGAAGCCTGTCAGGTTCAGGGCCACAAAATCAAAGCTCAGACCAATGACACTGTGGCATGGGAGCAATGAAGAGACAAAGCAGGGCAAAGGGTGAGAATGGGGGGAAGGGAGGGGACAGAGCTCCCAACGCATGGGGAGGAGGGCCCAGCTCTCCCAAGGACAGCACCGTCCTCAGGTCCCTTTGCATCCCCCAATCAACGCCACCCAATCCCACCCTCTTGGGAACCAGTTACCTTCCTCCCTCCCTCCCTCCCTCCCTGTCTCCTGCCTCTTCAAGTCCTGGCCCCAGAGGAAAGTCTTGAGCCTCCTCCACAGAGGAAGCATCTTCTCCCCCTGGCTCCCAACTCCGCAGCCCCCTACGAGGCCCATTTGATGGTGGTGACTGCAGGAGAGCTTGAGTTCTTGATGTGCAGAAACACAACTCCAGGCCCACTTTGTCTTTAAAGTCAGGGTGGGGCAGCTTAGCCTCTGAGGCTGAAGGACCCAGCTTCGGCACAGCAGCCAGACCTGCCACTAACTCCTCCAGGGCTGGGTGCACCAAGAACAGAGCAGATTTGGTGGACTCCCCCAACCCTGCCTAGTCTCCACTTCCCTGAAAAGCCCCATTTTGTTGCTTTCACATGGAGGAACTGAACTGGGCCACAGACCAAATGCCCAGAGCTGCAAGTCCTGCCACAGGCTCTTAGAGCTTTCACACTGGACACTTTCTAGAAAGGGCAAGAAGAGAGAAAAGCAGAGGAGGAAAGTCTGAACCCATGCTGCCTACAGCCTCTCTGGAATGCCTCTCGTCTTACTAGCTTCAAGTGACTTCACATAAAGCTTAGCAGGTTACCTTTTCCGCCTCCAGTTGGTGATCACCTGAGGGTAGAAGGAGATGGACCAGGCCACAAAGTAAATCCAGCCAATCACCTGGTTTATGATGCTAACGACATTACTGTGGATGACCAAGAAGTGGATCCTCGGGCTAGAAAGAATTTGGGGACTGAGATGAGCTGAGGCTGAGCCTGAGGGAAACCCCCATGTACCCAACACTGCCGGCCTCCCGTCTTATCATTTAAGGTCCACGTGGGCTGAGGTCAGCCTACCCGGTCTGGTTGGAATGATTTCCGTGCAGATAAACAGTAACTTGTCCAACATTTTGAGATGTCACTTGAAAAGAGGAATCTGTCACTCCGGGAGGCACCACAACCTGTTAAGAAAACTGAATTCAATCTGGTGCTACAGTTATTAGGACCTCACTGAGTATCCAGCTCCAGGCTACGCTCTAGGGAATGATGGGACAGATCACACATGGTCCCTGCCTTCCAAGAGCTTACTAACAGGAGGGAGAAACACTGGACCAACTACTTGCGCCCCCAACCCCCAATACCCGTGTGTTAGACGTTCTGAGCAGAACAACAGCCCTGCCTTCAGGCCCTCCCCTGCCTCAACTACGAGGGAAGATGGGATAGCTCGATCTCAGGCAAGTTATTCAAGCTCTGACCTCAGTTTGCTCACCTGTACAAGGGGATAACAGAAGTGTCTACCTTACAAGGTTGCTATGAATGGCATAGTGTCCATAAATACCATGATTGCTATTCTACTTGTTATAATGGAAGGCTCCTTAATACCCACAAACGATGTCTGCCCCATGCCCAGTGGCTGCCAAGTGACAAAACAGAAGACAGACACCTGGCAGGGAGAACATTCTTACCCTCCCGTCTGCCCAACACTTATCAAAAGCTCTGCTCCGAGAAACAGTACTTGGAGGCCTGCCTGCAATATCTGATCTCCCAGTCACCCGCCCCCACCCCCTGACATTCTCAAATCTCCCAAGTGTGGCAGGGAGCAGAATGATACCTTCCCTGGACCAACTGTCTCCCCCTCTTTGTTCCTTGGATATTGCTCTCGGCCCCAGACCTCTATCCATACCACAGGCATTGTAAGGATGCAGCCATTAGGATTCAGTGGCTTCTTTATGAGGACCCTGGAAGGACCATCTTTTTGGTTTTAGCTCCGGAAATCAGGGGGCTTTGGCAGAACAAGTGAAATGGTATGAGCAGCTGCAGCAAAGCCCAGAGTCTGATTCATGGCCCACCTCTTGCAAGCTACATCCTCATGACATGTACTACTCTTGGCTACTTTTTCTTATCAAGTTTTTTTTTGGCAATGTTGGTTGTATATTTGTAAGTGGCCACTAAGTCCCTTCAGGAACTAGGCAGGAAGAAAACTGGCCAACTGGAAATCAACTGATACGAGGCAAAAGGAAATCATAACTATCACTATCTTTTTTTAAATTATTATTAAGCTTTATTTTTAATTAATTTATTTTTTTAGAGAGAAAGCACACAAGTGGGGAGGTGCAGAGGGAGGAGAAAAATCTTAAGCTGGCTCCACACTCAGCACTGAGCTTGATGCGGGGCTTGATCTTACGACCCTCAGATCATGACCTGAGCTGAAATCAAGAGTCAGACACTTAGCCAACTGAGCCACCCAGGCGCCCCAGTAAACTTTATTTTGAAAACAGTTTTAGGTCTACAGCGAAATTTATCACTATTTTTTACTGAGTGCTTTCTTTCTACATGCCAGATACAATTCTAAACATTTTATACTTGCTACAGCTTTTAATCCTCACAACCCTGTCAAGTAGACATTACTAACCTTATGTCTACAAATGAGGAATCTGCGATGTAATGGGGGGAGTACCTTATCTAAGGCTCACGGGTCAGGCTTCTAGACTACCTGACCCCCAAGTTCTAACCAGTGGTTTCCAAAGGCACAGGGAGTAGATAGGAGTGGTTAGAGCTGGATGGGGAGGGGCCATATAGGTTGGCCCCTGGAAAGTGGGTTGGCACCCATATAGATCATTTCTATAATTGGATTTGACTTTCCACCATATAATTTTTTTAAAATTATAGTTGACATACAATGTTATCCACCATTAAATTGATATAAAATTGAATTATAACATGTGCAGAAAAGTACACACATCACAGCTTGATGAAGTAACAACCACAAACCAAGATCAAACACTCAGGTCAAGAAATGGAACACTTCCAGCACCCTAGAAGCCTTATTCTGCTCCTTTCCAGTCACACCTGATCCCCAAGGGGAAACTGCTATGCTGACCAACACCACAGATTGGCCCTGACTGTGTTTGCACTTTATGCCCAAGGAAGCATACAGTGTAGGCTTCTCTGCATCAGCCTTTTTTTGCTTAAGATTGTGTTTGACTTTTACTGGCCCTAAACTAGGTGATCAGCGTCATTCCTCAGACTCTAAATTTGATCTGTGGATCAAACCAGACCTCAGCTGGGTGCCACAGTCTGCTCTAAGAACCAATGCCTTTTCTTACCCTGTAGCAGGCTTCATGCCCCAGGGCAGGGGGAAAATTGTGAGAAATGGCTCTGTCTAATGAGGTGTGGTGTTCACCAGAGGGTGAGCGAGGACTGCCTTCCCACACAAGGCCCTTCTGGGTTGACACCCTTTATCTGATCACATGCTTCAGTACTGTTTTCTTGCCAGGGGCCTCACAGCCAACTGCAGCCCCTTTCTACAACCACACAGGGCCTTGTGACATGCTGCGTTGTTATCCCTGCATATAACTTGTCTATTTTTTTTTAAACTCTTGTTTATTCTCTACATTGCTGCCTTTTTTACTGATATTTTTTTATCTAGTCAATTGGTAATTGCTCAAATGTTGGTAAGGTAGAAGCAGTGTGTATATTAACACATAAATGCATAAGGACTATGAATAGTTATTGTTAGACGGCATTTGGCACTGGTTTCTGGAAATAACATTCAACCAGTGGAATCTTGGAAGAGTGCTTTGCAAACTTCAGTGTGGGCCTAAATCATCCGGGCATCTTGCTCATATGCAGGTTTTGAATGAGTAGGTTTGGGATGGGGCCCACGATTCTGCATTTCTAAAAGATTTTCAGGCAGGGACAGTGCTGCTGGTCCGCCAATGCTCTCTAAGCAGCCAAGCTTTAGAAAGCTATCTTATTAAGAATTTCTTCTACAGGGCGCCTGGGTGGCTCAGTTGGTTAAACGTCTGCCTTCGGCTCAGGTCATGATCCTGAAGTCCCGGGATCGAGTCCCACATTGGGCTCCCTCCTCGGCGGGGAGTCTGCTTCTCCCTCTGACCCTCTTCCCTCTCGTGCTCTCTATCTCTCATTCTCTCTCTCAAATAAATAAATAAAATCTTTAAAAAAAAAAAAAAAGAATTTCTTCTACATTCCCAGAACCATTTTTGCCTCAAATTTCTTACTACCACCTTCCTCATTCCATCTATATGGCATAAAATGGCCATCCTCGAAGAGATGAACAAAGCCAAAATCAGAGATTTTTAGAATGATGGAACAAGAGCAGCCCACGGTATAAAAACAAGGTGGCCTATTTCTAAAAGCACTTTCTTAAAAAGTATTTTATTACCCAGCAGTTAAAATTCATTACTTACTTCATTAGGGAGCTCAAGGATAGTAACATTTTTTGAACGAAATGTGATTTGAAAAGTGATCACCAAGGTTGCATTTAATGGATGCCTGTGAAGGATAAGAGTCTGATTACTGCTGAGAAGTTGGACACTGTGAGATCTCAACCAACCCTCTGGATTTCACATAGGGCCTGTCACTGCTCAAGCAATTATAATTAAGTGCCATGTGCTAGGCCCTGAGTGGTAGAGGTGGGGTCCTTGCTCCTCGGAGCTTTCCATTGGTATCGGGAGACAAGAGGCCCACAGGGGCCAGGTGAGAACATGAGAAGGTGGGGAACAGGTTGTGACTGCCAAATCGGGTGTCCAGAGGCCAAGGGGACCATGCCATCTGCTCTGGTAGAGAAGGCTCTAAAGGGCTCGGGTCTGAGCAGGGACCGTTGTGTCCCCAGAAAGCCAGGAGACATGTCCGATGGGAGTAGTTGGTGGTGTCCTCAAGTGTGAATGTACAGACCGGGAGTGAATTTGGAAGGCCATGGAAAGCCACTCGAGGATTCTGGAGAGGGGCGGTGTGGTGAGGGGAAGGCTTGTCAGATTTATAAGGTGTCCATGTAGAGGGGTGGCAGGAGCTGGGATGGAATGCAGGTTGCTATCAAAGCTTTGGTTTGAGAGCAGACTTCCCAGGAGAGGTGAAGAAAAGGGAGAAAGTAAAGAGAAAAGGCAAGGTTCTAGATCTTGGGGAATCCTCACGGCTGGCAAGAGTAGGGAGAAGCAGTAAAGGACAGGGAAGAGGCAGGCTCTCTGCAGTCTGTACTAGGTCGGCACCTCACGCCTGAACCAGCAAAGGTTCGCCAGTAAGACACTCAGAAAAGGCCAAGCAGGAATGTCACCGTGAATGGGATCCACTCAATAAGGTCACTTCTGCTTTCAGAAGGGATCTCAGAAGTGCTGCCGAACAGCTCCTTGCCCCCTGACCTTCAGGGCTCTCATCAAATACTTAGAGCCTTGGAAGGGACCACTCTGAGCTCTGGCATCAACTGCTGGTCACTCAAGGCCATCTCTCAGCTGGGGAAAAGGTTCATGTCTCTAGGCGGAAACCCACTTCCTCCTCCTCTGACCAGAAACAAGGATTCAGTGGCCGGGAGTAGGGAGACTCTAGGACCCAAGTCTGCAGACCACCTGCTATCACCTCTCTTTCTCTGGCTTGTCTTTTTTTTTTTTTTTTTTAGAGCTTATTTTATTTTCTCAGGAGAGAAGGGACTTGATACCACCATACAGAATATCCACTGTCCCTAGAGTTCTCTGGCTTGTCTTAAAGTGAAGAGGCAAAGCTATCACATTTGAAATATGAACAGACAGAACCAAGGGTCAGCCTTGACCTGCCATGGGGTGAATGAACAGGGCTGATGACAGAGCTGGGCCCGGGAACTTACTGAAGCGTGATGCTGATGTTAGCTGAGCTTCCATTTTCCAGCTTCACAGTGGGAGGAACAGTGAGGTCGACCGTCGACTCTGGAAGGACCCAAACCAATGACAAATCGTTAGGTCAGAGAACTCAGGCTCACAAGGAAAAACTGGGATGAGGCTCCTCAACATCTGAACTCATGAGCTTTGACTCATGACAACCCCCATCTTCTAGAAGAAGACATGGAGGTTCTGAGAGGGTAGGTGATGGGCCTGGAAACCTGAGCCTTCCTTATGCTCTCTCCCCTTCTGCTGCCAGAGAGAGGTAGACACAGGCCTGAGCAGGAAACACCGCAGCTTCTTCTTCCCCACACCGAGAGGTTTGAGGCTGAGTTATCCAGAGTTTTAGAACAATGGAGCCCCAAAATTGTCACACAGGAATTCATGCATCGATCTGGGACTGAAAAATGTGGACCTGAACCACCTCTTCAGATGGGAAAGCACAGGGGTCTCCTCTGTTCATGGAGCTAAAATGGCCCTGCAGCACTGGTCCAGCCCCGTCCTGTACTCTCAGAGACACACAGGGCCCAGCTATCCTCTTTCTAAAGAACCCCTTTGGGCTCTGTACTAACTTAGCCAAACCCATTCACTGATCCCCTTCCTGAGGCTGACTATGCTGGGGAGTGGGGGGAAAATGGTATATACCACAATCTCACTACCAGGGATTTCTTCTTGGCATTAAGGTGTTAATGCAGGATAAGGTAGACAAATTGGCCTTGGGAGTGAGGGAGGAAGCAGGTTTGGGAGGCCAAATACCCCAGAGCAACTTGGCCATAGAACCAGAGTGAGTGAGCCTCTCCCTGACCTCTTCCTGTGTTCTTTGGGCAGCCCACACTTGCACCCCACCCTACTCCCAGGTGCACTCAAAGCCCCAGGCCCCTGTCCACTTCACCTCCCTTACCTCAGGGCCTTCAGGGTTATGCAAGGACTAAGGAGTGGTCATGAAGCTAGACTGGGCAGGAAGGGAGCCCATAGGGGAAGGGAGCTTAACTTGATTAGGATGGTCCTTGTAGGGGGAGCGGCTACAGGCAGGGCCCAGGTTTCTCTCTCCCCAGTTCCCTCTAGGCAGAAGATAAATAAGATCTGAAGTTTTAGGTGTTCAGGTTGGAGGGGAACTTAAAAGTTCCCTGATATAACCTCCACTGTCTGATCCCTTTTTTCATTACTCCTATCTGGAAGTTGCCCTTCCTCTGCCTAAACACCTCCCAAGAATAGTAACCTCATCTCCTGCAAAGGATTTGGCCAGCCTGGAACTTGTACTTCTGGGCCTGGCTCTGAGAGCCGCCTTCTCCATGACAACCCTGCACACATGAATGCAGACACATGCTCTGTCACCTGCACCTGCAAGCCTCCAAGCTGAGACTCCCACAGTCTGAGGTCTCTAGTCTCAGCACTCTCCTCACACCTGCCTGGCATCCCACCGAGTGGGCATGTCCCCACGTTGGCCCACTCACAGCTGAGTAGGACGACCCCTCCCTTATGTGTGGCCTCAGGGCCCAGAGGCAGCTTTGGCAACTCTGCCCCTTCTTTTTCACAGTCTGAGAGCAACCTGAGGCTTTGTTCTGGGCTTGCACAGCTGGGGCGCAGTAGGACTTAAGGTCCCTGATGTTACTTTCTACCTAGAGTTGAGGACCACACCAGAGAAGCAAAACCATTGACAAGACAGTGCCCAGGACAGAGATACTGAAAGTGATGCCAGGCAGCCCCCCACACCTCTGGGGCAACCCATAACCTCTGGGGCCCGAAGGTTCTGCTGGGCTGTGGTCATGGTGTGAGGTCCGCATGGCCTTTGCTCTTCCATATTCTTTGCACTTTACAAGAGGAGGCTGTGAGCGCCTGAGAACCAGATCAGGTAATGTTTACTTTCCCCTCACTCAGAGCCAGTGAAGACAGTGGCTCTTAGCCGCTGAGAGACTGGGCTCTGAAGTCACACGGTCCATCCCGGCTTTGTCCCTTCCTTGCTCTTAACTTCTCTATGGGGCTCTAGTTCCTCACCTGTAAGATGGGGAGAACAGCACTACGTATTTCACATGGGGCCATGAAGACACAGTGTGGGAGTGTTTGTGACACACTTCCCATGTGGCCTGAGTGCTAGATGATTGCTGGTATCTGTTCTCATCATGTAAACACTGTAGGACATTTTCAAGCCCAAGATGGAAGGCAGTTATGAAGCAGGCATAATTTCCAGAGAGAGCACATTTTAAAGTTTGCCCTTGGGCAAGAGTCTTGGGACACCACATCAGAATTACCAAACAAGTCTTCATGAAACCAACTGAAGTTTCCCCTAAGGAAGGGTCTTTTTTTTTCAAAGGAATACTTATTGGCACCCTCCACTGTGCTCCCCATCCCACGCACTCTGCCTCATGCCCCATTCTCTAATTATTGTAACAGTGAGAGGTGGGTATTATCCTTCCCAATTTGGATATAAAGAAACAGAATCCCAAGAGGGCAAGCGTCTTGCCCACATAGCTCAGACATGATGGAGGCAGGATTCAAACCCAGGCCTGTCTGGTCCAAGGCCCAGCTTCTTGCCACTAGGTGGCAGTGCCTCAAGATTCTACCCAGAGAAGTCAAGAGACGGATCATCTCATCCACAGTCCTTGATGACCAATCCCCAAAGCAAAGAAAGAGAAGACAAGCAGAATGAGCTCAGAACCCCAATTCTAGTCACTTGATTTTATGGTGTTTCCATTACTCTTTTTCAATGACATTCAGGAAAGGAGGCAAAGAAGTAAAACAGAGCAGGGATCCTATGCAGGTCCCACCTTTGGGGACTCTGTAACTTTGGGGAAGACTTTTTGGGTCAAAGTTTCCCCTCTGTATACCTGAGGCGGTGGTGGCCAGATATGCTCTTCTTTCCTGGGCTTTATCTAAAGCCTGACAGTGCAGAGCAGGTCTGGAATGGGGCTCTGGAATTCGTATGGAGAAACACCAGGCTTCATGGTACCACCTTTCCGTTCTTGGAAATTGTTTATTCACAAGGTGTGACTGCAAAGTAACATGACTGATTGTTTAACAAATCTGGAAGAGCCTTCAAGAGGCCACATAACTGTAATGGGAGAGCCACTGTGTACAGCTCTGAGGGGGCTTCTGTAGGATTTGTACTGTTTGTATAAGGGTCATTTGAAATCCTTAGTCAGGGATTTCAAGATATATTTGATTTTTTAAAAAAGATTTTATTCATTCGACAGAGAGAGAGAACACAAACCAGGGGAGCGGAGAGGGAGAGGGAGAAGCAGGGAGCCTGACATGGGGCTCGATCCCAGGACCCTGGGATCATGACCTGAGCTGAAGGCAGACGCTTAACTGACAGCCACCCAGGTGCCCCAAGATATATTTGATTTTTGACAACAGCTAAGCTGATGATCAAAATAACCAGCCTGCCATCCTAGGAGTGCTAAACACTTTCCGTCCTCTTCATGGAAGGAATTTCAGCAATGTTTTAGGCAGTGGAAGAACTGATAGAATGATGCAGACCTCTAATGGCCCTGCTGCTCTTACAAACCTCACAAGGATGCCCAAACCCCAAGGTATTTTTTGACAACCAGCCTATGTTATGTGAGGCCCCTAGCCGCACTTGGGCTGCTGCATCCTGTTCCTTGGTTTCTCTCTAAAAGAAGGTTTTTCCATCTTACAAGGGGATGCCTGGCAGACTCCTCAGGTATCTGAACCTGACAGAAGAACCAGGTGCAACAAGATGGCCACCTCATTTGCTTCTGCAGCATCTCCTAGGACCTATAATTCCTTTTGTGAGGTCCACAGAACAGGGAGTTGTTGAAGCTCTGTCGTTTTGACTTTGGTGGTACAGAAAAGGTAACAGGGACCCCATGGAAGAAGGTCAATTATTTGTGAAAGTCCTGAACCCCAGACCTGGGTCTGCTCCACCACCCAGTGGTCGTTTGGCCAAGGAGCCAGCAGACACATGCAGTCTGGACAATCCTAAACCCTTGGCTACGAACAGGTCTGGCTACTTACTCTATTGCACCATCTCCCTCTTTACAAAGTTGATGACCCATTTCTAAACTCACCACATTTCTCTATGAGCTTCAGGGGAAGAAGGATAAAAATAATCAGCCAACTCCTTATCATGTTCCTCAATTTCAAAGAACCTGGAAGAAAAACAAATAGGAAGAGAAGTTCAGGTTAAAGTTGGAGCAGCTCAGCAACAAATGGACCATGGCACAGACAGTTCATAAAGGGCTTTCACCTCACTCCAGTGACCTCACATGCTCTGCATCACCAGGTGACTGGGGGGGTGGGGTGTGTGGAACATAGCTTTCTTTGATATGTGGAGCCATGGGCTCAGAGAGGCTAAGTGTTTTGTGTAAGGCTCCACTCTGAGGAAGGAGACAAACGACAAATTTTTCCCTCTTCAACTGCTTCTTGTAACCTCGTTAACCAAAAGAAAGAATGTAGTTTTATTGGCTGGGGGTCCTTTTTTTCAAAAAGTTATCCAAATTGTGGTCAGATATTTGACTTTGTGAACTTATGAACCTTAAGGAAATTAATTTCATTCCTTGTCCTGGGTCAAAAGCCAAAGGGGCTAATGCCACCAACTGACACCAGGTTAAGACTTTTTCATTTGACAAGTGTCACCTCTCCAGGACTGGCAGGGATCACTCATAATGGGGACCCAGTGTGGGAGGAGCCCCAGATTAGCCCAGGGGAAACTCACTGGTTAAGTGAGAGAGATGCACTACATAACACCTATAACCCCAATGCACAGCAGGGGAACCACGTGTCAAGATGGGGCAGGTCAGCATGGATATCTCTAGCTTGGTCTATACATGCTGCCTTGGCATGCAGAGCCTAGGCCCTCCCACCTGACAGCCTCTGGGGAGTCCCATGGGGAGAGCTAGGAGAGGTCTGTGTGGAAACACCTCTCTGATTTCAGTTTTCCCCAAAGGCCTCAAGGAACCTAGTACACCCCTCCCTTCAAAGACATCTTCCTGACTACTCTAGCCTGCCTGATCTCTGCCTGTTCCTGTCTCCTCCAGGGGCCTCTCTGCCTGGGCAGCTCCCTTTGATCTGTGAGGTCTTACTTCAGGAGCTTTCCCACCTGCTGGCATTGACCTGCTCTGTCTCTGGCCTCCTCTGGATTCCTTGCCTTTGGTGCTGTATCCCTGTGCTCCCTACCACCCACTTTCTGTACGCTGACCTGCAGGGAATTGCTCTGCTGTGTCTGTGGAGTGAACACGGGTCTCCCGCGCACTCTTGCCACTCTCTGCTCCTCACACCTGCCTATGTCCTTACGTTCAGGATTCAGAATGTCCCTCAGGGTAGAGTCTGGGTTTTCCCCCAGAAATCAGATATGAATCAAGCCTAACCAGCTCCTCTCTCATCCTGCAGGAGTGGAATGTGGACTAAGAAACTCAAATGTTTGGTCAGCAAAATTCCCACCCCCACCCGCCCGTCCCAGAGTCTGAGATACATACCTTGCAGGAAAGACACCAGGACAGATAGACACTGAGAGGTAAGTTGATTAAAATGTCAGAAAAATGTCAGGGTGATAGCTATACACTAAAACCATGTCTTGTGAATGCTACAAGGTAGAAATGTAGAATTTCACGACAGTGGGCTCTTTCGGGCATGCCCCTCTTCCTGGGTTAAGTTCTATCTTTCAGGCGTCACTCAGATACCATTTTAAGAGGTCTCCCTCTCCCAAACCATGCATCCCCGGAGCAACCTGGGGTCAGGGGTCTCCAGCTCCTGTCAAGTATCTGACTTAATCCTGTGAATTGTTTTACAACCTGGGACTCCTTGAGTCTCCTTCTCTTGTAGGACACAGAAAGTGTCAAGAATGTGTGCCCTGCAGACAGACTGCACAGGTTTGAACTTGGCTTCCCATTTATTGTGTGACTTTGGGGTGCTACTTAACCTCCCCAAGCTTCAATTTCCTAATGTGAAAACAAGACAGTGGGACTACATTATAGGACTTAAATTAGATGAAATGCATAACATGGCTTGTGGCCCTTCAAAGGGCCACAGTACACAGACTTAATCAGTGGTATTAAAATTTCATGGTGGTGGGGAGGAGTTCATTAGAAAAAAAGGTTGAGAAACAATGTCGTAAAATGATTACTACCGTTGCCTCGGGCACCTAGCAAGCTCTCATAAAGCACAGGTGGTGGCCGGGCGCCTGGGTGGCTCAGTTGGTTAAGCGACTGCCTTCGGCTCAGGTCATGATCCTGGAGTCCCGGGATCGAGTCCCACATCGGGCTCCCTGCTCGGCAGGGAGTCTGCTTCTCCCTCCGACCCTCTCCCATCTCGTGCTATCTCCCTCTCATTCTCTCTCTCTCAAATAAATAAAATCTTTAAAAAAAAAAAAGCACAGGTGGTTATTTTTCTCAATTCTGTTGAAAAGGGTAGCCAGTCACTTGTCCTCCCTTCCCCCAGCCTGAAAGCCCCGGAACGCAGGGCGGGGTCTCATTCTGCCCAGTCCCCCAGAACCCAGACCCGCGCTGACAATGGGCTTTTCAGCACCTCCTCTCTCCAAAGTAATCCGCCAACTCCGCGACCCAGATTCAGGCGGCAACTAACCAAGGAGGCGGGGAAGGGGCTCGGACTTGCACTGGAGTAGAGCCACCCCACACCACCTCGGCAGCCCAGGGTCCCCTGCCTCCGCTCACCACCACGCGGGCCTTCCAACCCGGAGGCTGTCTGGTGTCTCGAGGCCGGGACCGCTGGTAGGTGATGGAACCCTGGCGCGGCTGGAGGGGCACTGGACGCGCGGCAAGATTCTCAACGGACTTACACTGCCAGCTTTTAGCCCTCTCGGGGTCCGCCAGGTAAATGGGGGGAGGCTGTTGGGGCCGCGCCGACGCTCACCTGAGATCCTCTAGGCTCAGGGCAGCGACCACAACTGACGCTGGATCCGTTTTGGACTGTACCGGCCTTCCCCGGCAGCCAGACTTTGGGTGAGGGCGGGCCAGAAGTCACCTGACTTCAGCCACCTGATTCTCGGCTAGCGGAGCTCGGTGCGATGCACGCTGGGAACTGTAGTTGGGCAGGGCTGCGGCGGAGCAGAGGGGCCCAGCGCCTTGGCAGGGATGGGGGTTCGGGTGTGTGGGAGGCTTAAACCACTTTTAGGGACACAGAGCCTCCCGGAGCGCTCAGTGCCTGTCGGCGAACTCCGCGATACCACGGTGAGCGAGGCCGCGGGAACGCTCCTCCGTCTTAGAACGGCCGCCGCGTGGAACTGGGCCCTCTAGGTCCTGCCTTCCACCCCCTCTCCGCCTATAGGCGGGGCCCGCCGGGACGGCGCGCGGGGCTCCGCCTTCCTCGACCAATGGGAAGGCCAGAAGCCTCCATGCTGGGTGTGGCTGAAGGGCAGGCCCCGCCTCGGCGCCTGGGAACCCGCCGGAGCGTGCAGGAGGGGGCGCCGCTCCCTCAGACGTCGGCTGCGCGGCGCTCCGAGGCTATGGCTGCGCTGCCCGTCGTTCTCGGTATCGACCTGGGCACTACGTCTGTGAAGGCGGCCTTGGTGGAGCCCGTGCCCGGCGACCCATCGGGGTTTGTGGTCCTGGCGAGCTGTGCCCGGGCTGCGCGGGCCGAGGCGGCGGCCCAGAGCGCGGCTGCAGGGCCCCAGGTGAGGCAGTGTCCTGGAGCGGCGCCGCCTCGGGAGCCGCTCTTGTGCTCTTCAGAGGAGGCCTCCTCGACACCCCTCTTCTCCAAAGAAGTGTCCCTGGTTTCTCCAGCCTGCCTGGCCTCTGCCTGCCTGCTGTAGCTCCTTCTGGTCCGTTAGGCTTCGTCCCAGGAGCTTTTCCCACCTGCTGACCCCGATCCGGCTCCCTGGCGTCCGGGGGCCTTGCTTAATGGCGCTCTATCCCCGTGTTCTCTGCCTTCCACTTTCTGTACTTTGATCTGGGGAAATTGCTCTCCTTGTGTGACCTCGGGCCTCCCTCTTGTTCTTGACCCCTCTGAACCTCACACCTGCCGGTATCCTCAAGTTCAGGATTCAGTCTGTTCCCCGGGGCAGAATTTGGGTTTTCCTCAGGAACTAGGACTGTAGGATCAGGGCCTAAGCGGCTCTTCTCGTTGGGCAGGTGGACTGGGGAATTCAAACCCTTGGTCAGCAAAGATACCAGGACCCAAAGGCTGAGACGCCTTGGAGGAAGGACTGCTCAGACAGAGACAGGAGAAGAAGATCGGACGGATCATTATACATTAAAACTAGTGTCTTGTGAAAGCTACAGGGTAGAAATGGAGAATTTCGCCACAGTGGGATCTTTTTGGAGATGTGGGTTCAGGAAGATAATCAGTTTTTAGAGCTGGATTCCATTAATTCTCTGAAAAAGGTAGCTCTATGTTCAGTTAATTGACAATAGAAATTAATATCCAGGAACCTTTCTGTGTAACCTTATGACTTTTTTTTTTCTGGATTTCTGCTTGTTCTCCCAGTTGAAATAGGTGGCCTCCTTAAGGCGCTTTCCAGCCATAAACCTGAGTTTTCTAAGCCCCACTCCCAAGGGCTTGTTTTTCACAATCTTTTGCCACTTACCTAGACTCAGTTCTTTAGGGTTCAGAGTCCGTCTTGCTCAGAAACATTTCAGAGGGTAAAGAGTTCAGGAGCACTTTGCATTTTCATAGAGACTCAAAATTAGTTTGATTAGGGCATCAGGGTATTTTAGAATGATTATTTCACCACATGGACTATGAAATGGAGGCATATTCAGCTCTGACCTTGTGGGGGTAAGCAGCAGAGCTGGGATTACAGGGAGTAGGTTTAGGCACTGCCCTTTTTTCTTGAAATAAAGGCACTCTTTTTTTTTTTTTTTTTCTAAGTGGGCTTCCTGCTCAGCGTGGAGCCCAGTGCGGGGCTTGAATTCACAACCCTGAAATCAAGACCTGGGCTTGAGATCAAGAGTTGGATGCTTAACCAACTGAGCCACCCAGGGGCCCCAAAACAGGGTCGCTTCTTGAAAACTACTTTCCCTGCTTCCCACAGCATTCAGCAGGCTGTTCTGTGTTTACAGGCACACCATGTGCCACACCTGCCTAATGAGGGGTTTAGGAGAGGCCAGGAATAGCCGCCCCCCTTGCATCCTCCACGTGTGTTTTGTGCTTTGGGACAAACAGTATTGCTGTAATTTATAGCAAGATT